ACGGTGGACTGGTCTCTGCTGGAGTCTGAGCTGGAGGAGTTTCTGGTGAACCTGCATGAGTTCATCTGGTTTCACCAGAATCCGACCCGGTGGCTCCGATGACGAGCATTAAGAATAACTCTATAGAAACAGACCATCTTCTCTCTGATGGTCTCTTTACTGATGGAGGTCTGATAGAGGATCAGGACTACACAGACTGGTTCAGAACCAGTTAAACGTTCCTTCTGTAATACAAACGACGACTAACTTTACCTCAGAATTGTATTTAAGTACATTGCTTGATTCCACCACTGCAGTGATGATTGGAGTATTTAAGTTGGTGGGATTTCGCTGCAGTGAAACACAAACTCTGAACATGAAATACAGTCACAGAGCAGAGCTGTGTGTCGTGAACTTAATCCTTTACGCACGTATCAGGTAAAGTCGAAGCTTCCTCATCGTCCTCTGATGTCGCCGCCCACAGCTGGCTCAAACCAGCAGCGGTTCATATCTCAGCCTGGACGCCGACAGTAAAGAGACCGTTTCTTTGTTACTCGTGGTTGTGAGTGTGGAGGACGGATTATCACTGGTCTCGAGGTTCAAGGTTCAATGTGTTGTAAAGAGTTGAGCAAACAAAATCTAGTTGTCATCCCAAAAACCTTTATATGAAAGAAGAAACAGTGATTTTTAATATGGTTCTCTGTCACAGAACCACAAAGAAAACCTCTGAAACAATGAACGCAGTCCGTTTAAAACCGTTATTGTGACGTATTTATTGAAACGTTTCAACCTGTAACTCGTCTCATCGATCCGTGACGGGACAAAGTAACAGAAGCATCGTTTGGCACACACATGAACCCCAACATCATCATCTTCAAGTTTAAAGAGGTTCTGAGCAGGAATCATCACTGACGCTACAAAAACACTTCACCTGGTTCCTTCTCTGCTTCAGTAGAACTTCAGGTTCACTAGCAGAGAGAAGTACTGAAGCTTCATGTTGGTGGAAAGGATCATTCAGAGCCACACGAGTGGAGTCAGCACTTCATACATCACTCCATGGTTACATTTCCAAAAAGGTGGTTTTGTGATTTCATAGATTCTTTGTGGCCGGAAGAATAAAACATCTGCACAGATTTAAACATCTGCAAACAGAGGACATCATGACACTACTTTAAGACGTGCTGCAGATGAATAAAAGGTGAAAACATGACGCTACGCGAGCGACTCACGGAGTAACGTAGGAAGTGCTGAAAACACAACGAGCCTTTGTTTAAAGCCTTGCAGTACGTGAACGTCAGCTCCTCCACAACAAACAGAACGTACAAGAGGTTCGATTTAACGGCAGAACAATCGTCTTTACTTCATATGTTCAAGCCAGAATCAGCCCTCGATCTCTAAAGCGCTACCACACATTTACCCGACGGGGGAGAAAACACAGAGGACGGCATGAAGCTACACATATCACTAATTAAACATGAAGTATTAACGTCCGACCCTCCAGCTCTGAACACTTGAGAGGCAGAAACGGTGTCGAGATGAGTTCCTTCAGCAGATGTGAGAGAACGTACAAACATCTGGATGGGAAATAATCCTAATAAACTGACGTCTACCAGGTGAACTTCACATCTGCTGGAGAAATATATAGAAAATAAATAGATTCTAATTATTTACAAATGGACACGTGTTGTAACGTCTCCAGTGGTTCTACAGCCCACATATTAATCTATGACGCACAATTTAAACCAGACTGTAGCTCAGTGATGATCAGATCACGTCTAGTGTGCGGTCGGTCGGTCGGTCGGTCGGGGGGAATAATCTGGATTACAGCACACGAGGAATAAGTAGAGGAGGAGGAGTTTGACTACGGTAAAGTCAAACTGTGTGAGCATGAAACAACTTTACACACATTAGCTTATGTTTGCAAAAGAGGAATGTGAGTTGACACTTCATGCATGAATCTTCAAATAAAGATCAACGTGAGGGTTAAAGGAATATTACCTGTTACATAAAATCACATACTTTACATTAATTTCAATACTGGAAACTCTCCAGAGAGCTTTAAATCCTTTTAAATCCTTCAAATGCACATTCGCTCTCCGGTTTCACAGCCACGGACTCTCAGATACGTGATCCAAGACGACTTTGACTCGTAGTTTTGGGGCCGAGTCACATTTTCACAGATTTCTTTGCGTCGATCAACCAGAAGAAATGAACCAGAATCAATTGATTCAATGTTCAACTAATCATTTGTGTTTGCCTATTTGTGTTCATTTTTATACATCATCTTTTATCTTAAAGTCTGTTTCAATTAAAGGAAAACTTCATCCACACAACGACAGTCTGTATATAAACGACTGACCTCGTTTTACTTTGAATTCTTGAAGAACACGTTTTCTCTCGTCTGACTTTTCTCAGTTTTTGGCGTGAGAGAAAAACAAAGTGTTCCTCAACAGTTCAAGGTGAGCAGCTGTAACAAACGCTCATTCTGTGGGTCAAGTATTCCTTTAAACTCAATAATGAACTAGTTTGTGATGTGTGATGATGACTGGAGCATTACTGCAGGTACATGATCAGATATCAGTCCTGCATGAAGAGTTCGGAGAACAATAAGAGAAACCACGGCTCTTTCTTTTAGGTCTAAAGTCTACAGCAAACACAAGTACTCACAGTAGTAGTACTACAGTAACTGTGGAAGTCAGTTTCAGATTCATAAAACAGATCTCGGCTTAAACAAACATGACGCATCGCGTCCTTGTGCAAACACAGGTTTCTACGTCTGCTGCTGGTTTCAAACAAGAGAATGTAAAACTCTCCGTCCGGTGTCAGTGATGAGCTGAGCTGCGGAAGGCAACGTGTGCACAGTGACCGAGTGTAAACGTATTGTTCCGTCTTATTTTAAACAGAAGAACAGAAAGGACTTTAAAACAACGCGTTACACAACTCGCTCATTGGAAGGTTGTGTTTCTCTGGGCGGCTGTGAGACGAGGAATGTGTTCGGATCTTATCGTCTGTGAGAACACACAGTGTGTGATTAATGATCGTCAGTGTTCCTCTTTCTCAAAGTGTGTGTCAGCTTACTGTCACCACACTGAAGATAAAGAAAGACCTACGTGTGTGTGTGTGTGTGTGTGAGAGAAACTAAAGGTCATAAAACAACCTTCTTTCATTCAGTGCGTTGTGAAGTCTTTGTTCCCTTTTGTTATTAAACTCACTATCCTGACGGTCACGCTTGTGCTCGTACTAAACAGATTATAAAGGAATAGTTCAACATTTTGGGTAATTGGACTTCTTGTTTTCCGTCTAAGCGGTGTGTTACAGTGTTAGCGTAGCTTAGCGTAAAGACTGGAAGCAGGACTTTTGACGTTTAATTATTTACGTTATTTTAGAGGTTTCTGTTCCCACTTTAGATAAAACTAATAAAACTGGAGAGATGTTTCCCTCTGCTGCAAGTCTTTATGCTAAGCTAACCATCAGATCAATACTTAAAGCGTGACGAGCTTCCTTTTCCCAACATGTTGAACTGTTCCTTTAACTATTCTAAATTCATCAGTACATTAAATCTATTATTTTGTTCTACTTCAGAGCTTTTAAGGATGATCTCTTTTCTGTTACAACAAACGCACATTTGTCCTTCAAAGGTTGTTTTCTACTGGTCAAGAGTCTAAGTCACCGAGGCGATAATATAAATGCAGTGAGGACAAAGTAACGTGTTTGTCAAGCACAAACACGTTACTCTATTTCCCTTCTTAAAGGCACAGTGTGTAGGATCTAGTGGTCTGTTTGCTAACTAAATACCTCTCCGCTCACTCCTGGACTTTACAAGCCTGTGACCGTCCTGACCGTTACAACTTGAGGAGCAACGGACGTCAGACAGGTGACGTAAACACTTGAAAGTCAGCGTTTGGTTTGTCCGTTCTGGGCTACCGTAGAAAAAACATGGCGGTGCAACGCGGCGGACTCCGCCTCCTGATCTTTATGTATTTATGACGGTCATGCTAAGCTAACGAAAATAGTTTCAGGGGATTATACACTAATGAAAACATATTTATGTATATTATGTTCCATTTCTGCTGAAAGATGCCCTACGCACTGTGCCTTTAAATGAACCTGAACCGGTCTCCTCTAAATCCATGAATGCGTCACTGTGTCGAGCTACAGGTGCCTATAAAAAAGTCAGGTGAAACTGAGGAGGCCCATGAGTCAGCATGAAGCAATCAGCTGGTTGTGGCTCACACAGTCATGGCCGCCTCGCAGCTGGTCACTTTCTACGTTATGGCACGCTTCAACAACACAAGACACGCTACTCTGCTTTGGACCCTTTGTCCCCGGAGGAGCCCCCGAGGTAGGATTTGTAGAAGAACAAGGCAAAGAGGACCAAGTAGCTGAGGTACATGAGGGTGCCCCACGCGATGTTATCCAAGTAGGACGGGCAGCGCACCTCGTGCATCCAGCGGTACACCAGGCCCAGCACCGCCAGGCCCATCACCATCTGCAGGATCTGGGTGGCCGTGATGATCATGGCGAAGGGGCGGGGCACCCGCAGGCCACCCGCCTTGACCGCGTAGTACGTGTACATGAGAGAGTGGACCAGGTAATTCATGGTCATGAACCAGCCGCCGCCCGCCACCTGGTCCTTGTAGGAGTACCAGGAGTAGAGCAGCACGGTGATGTGGTGGTACCAGTGCAGGAAGATGAGGCGCTGCTTCCGCAGGACGATGAACACCGTGTCACCTGGGGGAGGAAGACCATCGAAGGGTTCGTGAAGAGCAGTACTTTAAGATCAGACAAAATTCAATCGCAAAATGACATAAAGTTTAAGAGCTTTCCTTTTAGTTTCAAAGCTCGAAACCCATTTAAAGGTGAAATGTTGTTGTTTTGTGTTTTAAATGCCGTTTACTTTATTCTATTTTCCGCGGGCTTTGCTGAAAGCACCACCGTTTGTTATCAGGTGATGCTCGTTCATATATTTTAGAAGAGCACCAGCTGAACCTAACCAGCACAAACTTAGTTAGATGTTAAGAGGTTTCATTCTGCACCACGAACGTACGTAGGTTCCCGTGCGATGACGAGCAACAGCTCGGCTGCACTCACGTTACCCTTTGATGGACGGTGTGCAGGTCTTTAACGGTACAGAGTATTTATGTCGACACTCTTCCTGTCTGCAGCTGAGGAAACACCGTCTCTGGATCCATCATCCTCTAACGGGATGTTCTTGCCATCTCAGCATCTTCCTCCACAGAGAGACGGAGGAGCAGCTCTTAAGATGATTGTCTGCTTATTACACATTTACTGGAAAGTTTAAGCGCTACGAAGAGGAAGTGAGAGAAATGATTTCATCTCTTCAGGTTCATGTCCATCTAAGCTTTGAGTCAGTAAATCCTCTCAGATCATTTGTGTTTACTAATTACACCTTAAACTCCCAATAACAGAGTTCTTAATGTGTCTGGTTAAATATTGTTAAAAACAATGTTATTTTTATTCCGTTGGTTACATATAACCATTTTTTCAAATGCATTTAAAAGCCTCATGTCAACATATAATTGGGGCCTGTTTGACATGGAAATATAGAAATTGCAAATCTGTTAAAACATCCGAGAAACACAATCCCTTGTGTTGCTGAGGACCGTATCAGAGAGGTTGGAGGACCTTACCGAGCTCGGGGGCCTTGCTGAGAACGAAGGCGTAGGCCCAGAATTTGCTGACGGGGGCGCTGTAGAAGCTGTTGTCACACACCGACTGTCTGAAGCCGCTGGTGGTGAGGATGTGCAGCATGTACGATCCAGTCCTCAGGGCTCCTATGATGCTGCAGAGGGAACCCACGACACGCAAACACATCAGAGCAACTCGGAAACAAACCTCTCCATCAGCCGGAAAACTGGTGAATGACCCAACACCGAGATCAATCTGGACCTGTGACCAGGAGTACGTGTACACGAGGGCTAGAGGGACCGAGATCTTAACCCTCTGAATATTATCTCCAAAATTACACAATCTATCACATCCAGCAGCTGTAAAAGCAAACATAATCATCAGAATGTCATCTCTCCGACGGTCCTTGAACACATCACTGCTGCTCTCAGTGTCAGAAAATCATTTTAGATAATTTGTGTTTACCCATTACCTGGACATACATCTAAAATACCACCTTAAACTCCAAATAACAATCCATTTACAGGTCAAGAGAGTTCTATACGCATCTGATTAAACATAAAATATTGTTAAAAAAGCTTCTCAAATGCTTCCATGTCACCATATAATTAAGAACGTTTTGACATTGACACAGTGACTCAAAATCTGTTTTAAAAAAAAAAAGATATCTTAAAAAAAACACAAATACAGTCTGGTATTTTTCAACCAGATTTAGCACAATTTTGCCCCAAATAAACCGAACCAGATCATGTTAAAAACATGAAATTCTTCGCTCTATTTAGCAGCCATTCTCAGGTTACCGCTTGCACACATTATTCAGGCTTCATGCTATTAAATATTAAATACAATCCTTTAATTGGCCTAGAACAAAGGGGACGGTCCGAGTCATTTCTACGACCCATGTCATCGTTTCTCTTAAACACACCACTGAATGTCCGATGTTTCAGCTCTACTGCTGCCATAAACACTCGACATTACTCATCTCTATGATGCCAATAAAACCCTCTTAGAGTCCTGCAGTCATACATCGATCCAGAGATGCAGGAAGGAATTCATCTGCCAAACAATATTAAGACACAACTGAGAGAAACCGTCCACTGACACCACTTACCTCAGGTTTTATAAAACACAAACTCTACAATCTTGTTTGATAATTAGTTTCCCTATTGAAAATGTAAAAACTACACTGATGGAGGGACAGAGATGAGGAGCAGAGAGCAGCCCTGCCGGCATCAAACGCTGAGGAAAAACAAAGTAAACTAAACTCCATGCTGAGATTTTAACACTGTAAACACTTGTGTCCACATGCTTTTTGCTGGAATGTTCTAGACCCCTTAGATCCACCAAAAGGAAAACCTTAAAGATACCATAATTAAAGATGTTTCAGACAACACGACCGCTCGATAACTTATCTCAAATGATCATTTATTCTATAAAACGTCTGATTAACTGTGAAAACACCACAGACTGTTTTCTGCAGCAAGTTCATCAATTCAAGTGAAAGGATATAAAAAGTAAAGAGATGAGGACCGTGACTCACCTGAAGATGGCGAGGCTGAGCGACCACAGCATCAGCGGCCGGCGCAGGTTCAGCTTCGGCCTTTCCTTCATGAAGTGCTGCCCGCCGAACACGAACGCAGCGTACAGACCGCAGAACATGAAGGCTTTGCTCCTGTGGACACAACACAGCAGAACAACACACGGATCAGCATCACTGAAGGAGATAAGACCGTGTTAGACTGCATTAGACCGCCTTAAACCAGCGTTAGACCGCCTTGGACTGTCTTAAACCCGTCTACTTTTGTAGATTAAGAACGTCAGTTTTATTTATCTGGTTCCACTTACACAAACTGATTAAGGGCAGAAACAGAAAGGCTGTGTGTTAGAACCCGTTTAGAGTTGGACGACCTGAATCAGCCTCTAAACGTATTTTTGACATCTGTCTGGTGACAGATGTCAAAAATATATACATACATACATATATATATATATATATACATACATACATACATATGCGTTACATCTGTGAGGCTGTTTGGGAATAAACCAGATGACTAATCCAGATTGTCACAATACATATTAGAGTAGCTGCTGCTTGACCCAGTTAATGCTTCTGATGGTGAACGCATGAAGTCAAATCCCTCAGAGATACAAACTGATGTTTAAAAGTATATTCAGGCTTTCATGTTATTCTGCTGCGATCTGTTGGTTTTACTTTCGATTAATATCATTTAGTCTATAAACTCACTATTTTACAGACTAGTGTCGGGTGACCTTTCCTCCATTTCACCAACGACATCATTCCTCTTTAGGATTTATGATTGATGTAAGGACCCCCTGCTGTTCTCCAAAGTACCCTCAGCATACGACACACTATCCTGAAGGACAGACATAAAAACTTGTTAGAACATTTAGTTTTTAATGCATCAAATCCTGCTGAATACTTTTGGATTTTTAGCTTTCGGTCAAACAAGAAAGAAGCCGTTAGAAGACGTCATCTTTGTCTTGACTTCTGATAAACACGTTCATAGATTAAATAATAAATATTTAAACAAGCTCAAGGCAAACAGGAGCACTTGAGCTTCCTCTGGAAAGGGAGAAACATCCTCTGAAGTTTAACTTTGTTCATTTATTTTCTTCTTTCAATCTAACGAGACACATTTGCATAATAAATATCTACATTTATTGTAGTATTTCATGCAAATGACACCAGTTGACGGAGTTCAAGTTAAAGTCACGTCTTCACGGTTGCACCACACGTGTCAGAGAGACAGACAGGGTTTGTGTGCACGTGTCAGAGAGACAGGATTCAGGTGATAAGGAAGATGTTTCAGGGTGTGGCTGTGGTGTGAGGACAGAAGCACAACGGTGAAGCGTGCTGGTTTTAAGGTCCCACAGCAACACGGTAATAACAGATACTCTTCCCTGTAGTGATACTGACACAGAAGCACGTTAAAGTAAAGGAGGAAGAAGAGGAGGAGACACTAACAGTGAATTACTGCGTCCTATGAACATTAAAATGATCCATGCAGCTGCTGTCTGGAGGTCTCATGGAGTTGCATGATGACTCTGCAGAAGATAAATGCTGCAGCAGGTCTAAAGACATTTACACAAAGCTCCAGACCTGGTGAGGAGGATGTGGAGGATGAAGAGGGTGAGGATGAGGAGGGTGAGGATATGGAGGATGTGAGCTGCATTCCCCCCGGTACAGCTCACTCCCCTCTGTCTCAGAGCCACAGCTGTGTTTTACTTTCACTTCGTGCACAAAACTGCAGTCTTACTCTGCGTCTCTGTCGCTGGGTGGTGAGGGATCATTGTAGGTGCGTGCACAGCAGACGGACTAACATCTATTTGTTGCACTCAAATAGTTTTAATTCAGACCTATGGGAGGAAAATATGAAGTCACGTCGTCCATCCTCAAGGACGTGTGAATTGACACATAAACGTCGAATATGAAGCAGATTAACGGCGGTAAATGTGAGACACGTGGCTAACAGCCGGTGACAGGACGGACACGAGGAGACAGAGTTGAGTCTGTAGGAGGAAGAGGACCAAGACGACATCTTTTATCTCTTGTTTTAGCTTCTCTGTAAGCTAACATACCAGTTTTCCTGCATCCATTCCTGGGCTCGTCTTTCGTCGAACAGACGCTCGAAATCGTACTCCGCAGTCGCGTTCATTGTTTATTTTATCCGCTTTTCTTTCGCTATAAGACTCCCGAAGTTTCTGCTAAATGTGCCCGCGCCGGACCGGCCTTGTGACGGGTTTACAGCCTGGCTGCTGCTCCTTTATCTCCTCCAGCTGATATTAGCTGGATTGTGACCGGTTGGAGGATGCGGTACCAGACGTACTTCATCCAAGGACTCTCTCCTCTCCGTCATCAAGCTGGCGGAAAGGGAAACAAGGCTGTTCCGGTTTGGACTTTCAGAATAAGAGCTATGACGCAGCAATTGCTTCAGATTAACTAGATGGATAGATAGAGACAATTACATTTGTTTTATATGGTCTTATATTTGCACTTCCCTACTTTGCAATGCAACTGTTGCACAACAATATTCCTCATACATAAAGTTGTATTTTATTATTTATTAAAAAATCCTCTGCCTAGGCTAACACCAGAAGGTACCAGCTTCTAATAGGTCAATAATAAGTTGTAATCATGGCTTTAACTTTCATCTCTAACTATCTCAGTCATTTAATAAAACAAACTAACAAGCAGAGCACAGGCTTGAACAGAAACATAATAAACACACAATATGTAAAGACTAAATCCTTAAATCAGTGACAGCAGAACATAAAACCTAAAGTATGCATCACCTTCATAACCAACAATATTATATCATCAGCTCACTTGCGCTGATCATTAAATATATTTTATTTTGTTAAGTTGAATTTCTTTTAAATTGATTAAATGCTACAAAATGTGTTAATTATTTTATATTTTTTATTTATTTATATATTGAATTCAGACCGGTACTTTGTCCTTTTTTTCTGACATTTTATTGATTAAAAGACTAATAAATTACAACAAATTAATAAATGAATGGAAATGATAATTAGTTAGCGGTCTCAACTTTAATTGTGAAGGTAAATGCATCGGTTTCCTGGTTCCTCGCGCTGTCACGTAGTGTCTCGAGCCTGCAGTGATGGAGGTGGGCGGGGCTTAGCTCTGACGCTGTATCACCAGTGAGTTCAGGCGGTCAAACATTTTATGATTTAGTTTGATACACAACACGTGTTTATTCTGTTTTAATTAATCTTTTTATCATTTTGTTAATAATTCATATGAATTAATTACGATTAAATATAAATAACTGATCTGTTTGTGTGTGTTTAATGTTGTTTACTTCTATTTTATACTTCTCTCCATGTTAGAGACAAATGTCCTACTTTTTATTCCACTACATTTATTTTACAGCTTTAGTTACTTTGCAGATTTAGAATATAAATATAATCAACTAATAAATTATGATATATATATTTATTATAAGTGAAGCTTCCCATTTATAAAATAATTAAATGAGGTCCATCTTTACCAGATGCAGCATTAAAGTGATGAACACATTAATGCATCAATTATTATAATCCAATAATATATTGTATATTATTCTGAAACTCTGCATTATGAGTAATTTAACTTTAAGTACTTCATATATTACTTTTAACATAGTATTTCTGCACTCTAGATCTTCCATTACTATTAGCAAATTAAAAATAAACCAATACATCCCCTGCTAACCCTTTATTCTGGTTCAAAATGTGAATATCTGCTCGTCTTCTATAATAATTAACTGAATATCTTTGAGTTTTGGACTATGGATCGAACAAAACGTGACATTTCTAGATGTCACCCTGGACTCTGGGAAACTGTGATGAACATTTTATAACCAAAGGATTCATTCATTAATCCAGAAGATAATCTGCAGATTGATTGATATAAAAAAATGTGAATTAGTTGCAGTTAAGTATTAGATTACGCCTTCATGTATAACTCTATGAAATGCTGCTATCCGTGCTCAAACTGAATGTACTCATGAATCTGTGCCAAAGGGGAGAGAGACTCACTTACATCACATTTGCAGCCGTGAGGTGAGCGGTTACATAAAACACAGCTGCACACACATCTGTCTGCTCGCTGGTGTGACGTGGCAGAATCACGGCTGGATTATCAGCAGGTCAGAGGGCCACGAGTCAGGGGCCGGGCGGGTTCGGTTGTGTGTGTTGTGCAACTGATGTGTGGCAACGTGGAGAGAATCTGCACCAGTAAAACTAAATATTCTCCTTCACCTGCTCTTAAAGGTGTCAACATCTAGATTCATGACTTTCAATTTAACAGAAGTGTCCTAAAAACATAGAAGTCTGACTCATAGTGACACAGGAATCACAAAATGATCAAAATGTCCCTCATGAAGCCTTAGAATTAGCTCGTCTCCTAATCAAAGGTAATGTGATGCCATACTATGCTTTCATGGTGCATGTTGCTGAGCATGAAGGGGAAGTAACGAGGGGTTACCAGACGAGTCCACAAACAGGTTAATCTAGACGTCTCAAAGTCCTCGTCTACGCCCGCTGGAGCAGAGATGAGGAACGGTCAGTGATCCCTGCAGAAAAAGATCAGACGCTGATAAGTTCTGGCTCTTCATGTGCAGATTTCATGCACGAGTTCATCTCAATACGTCTGGAAAAAGAAAGGAAATGATTTGACAAATAAAAAGGATAACTAGAAAATGCATTTCCTGCTGAAAATGCGTTGGAATGCTGAAAGCTGAAATTAATTGTCAAAAAATTGCTGAAAATTAAGAAATGGGAGACTACCCGTCTGAAAAATGTTGAAGCTTGAAAGCATTTAAACTGCACTGCTGAAAACCCTTGTAGTTGAAATGTCTCACTATGGTGTCTGTAGCTGAAAGTATGAAGAAGAAGTAGGCTTTGAAAGTTGAAGAAGTTTAACAGGATTTGAAGATTTTCTACATAGAGATCCCATTCAAAAGAAAGTTGCAAAAAGCTTAATAATTCAAAAAGTTGAAAGATTACAAATATGAAGTCATATCACACCTCTCCTGAAAGAGCTGAACATTTTGATATTCGAACGGTTAAGAACGGCTTAAGAAAATTTCAGCGGTAGTGATATTTGTTGTAGTAGTAGTAGTAGAAGTTGTAGTTGTAGTAGAAGTATTATTAGCAGTAGAAGTATTAGTAGCATTTGAATAAGTACTAGTTGTAGCAGTAGTGATATTTGTAGTAGCAGTAGTAGTAGAAGTTGTAGTCGAAGTATTAGTAATTAGAAGAAGTAGTAGAAGTAGTAGTAGTATCAGTAGTCGTAGTAATAGCTGTAGTAGTGGTCGTAGTATTTAATATAACAGTAGTAGTAGTAGAAGAAGTAGTAGCAGTAGTAGTAGTACTAGTAGCAGTCGTACTAATAGCTGTAGTAGTATTAGTACTGGTAGTAGCAGGAATAGCAGTAGTAGCAGTTGTGGTATATGTAATAATAGTAGTGGTAGTAATATCAGTAGTGGTAGTAATAATATTGATGGTATCAGTAATAGCAGTAGTAGTAATAGTAGTAGTAATAGTAGCAACAGCAAAAGTTGCAGTAGAAGTAGTAGCAGTAGTAGTAGTAGTGATACTACAAATATTAGTAGCAGTAGTAGTAGTTGTCGCAGTATTCGTAAGAGCATTCATTATTTCAACAAAAAAGCCTAATTTTGAGCTTAACGTTTAAATACAGTTCCTCTTAAAATCTCTAAGACCTGAATGACTGTATGAGAGAGAGAGACACAGAGACAGAGAGAGAGAGAGAGAGAGAGAGAGAGAGAGGATGAGTGAGTGAGTGAGTGAGAGACTCTGATCTCTCTGGCAATCTTTCTCATTTGGAGTTTGTCCTATGTTTTATCATTTACAGCTTACATAACTGTTGTCCTGCTCTGCCATGTCTTTCCTCGTCTCTCCATCTTGTGTGTAAATGTCACTCGAATCAGGAAACTTATCAGAATACCCATATTTGATTGGCTGAGCTGCATCACGTATATCTCTAAATCATGTGTGTGCGGCTTTTATTTTAAAATGGGGGGGGGGGG